TGCATGTGCCCCTTTTTTTCTTCACTCCGATTTCTAGGCGCGCGCCACCCTTGGCACCTCCGCGAAACTCGCCTCGGCAGCTCGTCTGAACCGAAGAACCGTTGCGGGGAGGGAAACCGCCGCCTGGCCCGGCCCCCGTAGCCTCGGTTTCAATCCAACATGGCGCTGGCCTGCAAGTGCCCTATCTCGACGCCTGGAGAAGGGTTTCTCCATAGACTGCCACTGCCCAGAGCGACCATGGGTGCAGCTCAGCGGCCGGGCGGACTTCCCTTTTTACGGCCTGTTGAACGCGTCGCTCTAGACTTTATAAGAATCTCTATGTCTAAGGTCTTTTGCCGCCCACAGAGACAGAAAGCCAATAGGAGCGCATCGTTCCGATGACGTTACAGTTGGGGGCGTCACCCGCTTTTGAAACCAAAATGACGGCCGCTCTGAAAACGCCCCATGGCCCAGAGGGAGCCGATCGGACGGCTGGTGGCAAAACTCGCGAAGGAAATGGAAGCGGCTGCACGCATGCGCAAGAGACAGAAACCTGCTGGGCCGACGGCGCGTAGGTTGCGGGTTCGAATCCCGTCCTGAGCTCCGGTGTTTCAAAGGTCGTGGTCAGAGCAGTGATTAAAAGGTGCTCAGTCCCTTTTAACGATGCGGGCAAAACTGAAGCTGCTTGGGCTGAAATAACAAGAGTCTGGTCCCGTAAAGGTATTTTTTTAGTCCAAGGTGTCACAGGTGGGTCGCTGTGTTGGTCTGAACTGCAACAGAACGAAGTTTGAGTCCAGTGGCACCTCGGAGACCAACAAAGTTCAGTTCTGGGCATAAGCTTCCCTGTGCATGGTGCACATGCATCTGAAAAAGTATGCATGCACATAAAAGCTTCTACCCAGAACTGAACTTTGTTGGTCTAAGAGGTGCCACTGGACTCAAAATTAGTTCTCACATCTGTTTGTTAACTCTTTTTATTTACATGCTGATTTCCTGCTATTCACAGGTCTTGTTGTCGTCGCAGTCCAGTTTTACTCTTTGCGACCCCCTGGACCCCATCACGCCAGGCCCTCCTGTCTTCCGTCGTGCTCCAGAGTTTGCTCAACTTCATGTTCGTCGCCTCGATAACACTGTCTAACCGTCTCATCCTCTGCGGTCCCCTTCTTCTTTCACCTTCACTTTCCCGGCATCCGGGTCTTCTCCAGTGAGGGCTCCCTTCTCATTGGGTGGCCAAAGTACTTGAGCTTCAGCTTCAGTCTCTGGCCTTCCAGGGAACAGTCAGGGTTGGTTTCCTTTAGGACTGACTGATTCGATCTCCTTGCAGTCCAAGGGACAGGTCTTACCAACTGCTTTAATCCAGACTTAGCTATACTTATCGTGCTGTTACTTATGCCTCCTGACTCTAAGTAGCCCTGAAGAAGTGTGCGTGCACACAAAACGTTATACCCAAGAACACAAGACAAGCCATGTTGGACCAGGCCAGTGGCCAGTCCAACACTCTGTGTCACACGGTGCTCTTTCAGTTGTTGCTGGACTCACACTTTGTTCTGCTGCCCACCCAAACATGTGCAAAACAGAATTATTCAGGGGGGGCTGTTTGCACAGGTAAATAGGACTGTGTTGTGATGAAAGAGTCAGAAAGCTGCACTGGTAAAAGGACAGGGACCGTGGCCTGTACTACTGCATTGCTACCTATCACTGTGCGTATGCTCCAGACTAGGTAGTTTCTGCACCTCAGGAACATCTCATGTTTAAAAGTTCATGCTTCTTCTCAGCTCTGCTTTAGATCTGTGTTCAGCTTTCCCATCATGGTAATTGTATTTGACTCATGCTACATAAGCCTTAAGTCTCAGTGAGAGAAAGGCAGACTGGAAGTAACATTGTTTTAGACTTGATATCGTATTAATTGTTATAAAGGTAAAGGTTCCCTTGCTCGAAAGCCAGTCAAGTCCGACTCTAGGGTTGCGGTGCTCATCTCCGTTTCAAAGCCGAAGAGCCAGCGCTGTCCGAAGACCTTTCCGTGGTCATGTGGCCGGCATGACTAAACACCAAGGCGCACGGAACGCTGTTCCCTTCCCACTGAAGTGATACCTATTTATGTACTTGCAATTTCTTGCTTTCGAGCTGCTAGGTTGGCAGGAGCTGGAACTAGAGACGGGAGCTCACTCCGTCATGCGGCACCCAGGTTTCGAACTGCTGAACTACCGACCTTCCACAGCCTGCAGTTCAGCGTCTTAACCACTTGAGCCACCACATACTGGTTTTTAAACTACTGTAAGCTGCCCTGAGCCGCCTAGGCGGGAGGGCGGAGTAAAAGTCTAATAAATAAATAAATAAAATAAACAATAATAGTAAAAAGCGTGGGCCCTAAGTGAGAATTCAAGGCTTGGTCTCCCACATCCAAGCCTGGCACGCCAGAGCCGTTCTGGACCGACTGTGAAGGGCTGGGGCTTGGTTTCTAACCGTGATGCTGGCTGAGGTCGGAGCGCTCTGCCAGGGGGCCTTGCCACACACCCTCGGCTGGCACCTCATCTGAACTGGGCTTCCACCTGCGCAAAGCAACGACACAGGACGCAGGATATGCAACTACTGAATTTGGGTAGCAGCTCAATTTCTGCAAGGTGCTGGGTGAGTGAGAATTTCCCCAGGGAAGTGTTTTGGCCTCGGCCAGCGCAGACTTCACATGTGGCCTTCACGTGCCATCGGTGCGAAAGACATGTTTCCCGCTAGCAGAAGCCCAACATGGCAACCAGATGGCAGATCAACAAAGATAAGGGGAGGGTTGGTTCCCCCCACCCCCAAATGCAGGCTTTGAGGATTTTCGCACAAGACAGCCTGAAGAGTTATGACTCTACTGAAAACCTGAATCCATAAACACGTGGAATTCACTGCCACAGGAAGCAGTGGTGGCTACAAGCTTCGAGAGGGGGTTGGAGAAACATCTGGAGCAGAGGTCCATCAGTGGCTATGAACCACAAGGTATAGATAGGAACACTCTGTCTGGGGCAGGGATGCTCTCAATGTTCCCTCTAAGCTGTGGAGTCTTGTGAGCAGGAATTCTACTTTGTGAGCTGCTGGCATGAAAGTTGTGAGCGAGCAATTTGGCTCCTGCATCAATTAATTTGCTCTGGAGCCCCATCCTTCCTGAGCTAAGGCAAAAATGTGTGAGCCGGAGGCTAAAAAACTGTGAGCTAGCTCACACTAACTCAGCTTAGAGGGAACACTGGATGCTCTGCCTTCTTGCTGCTTGGGGGGGCCACAGTGGGAGGGTTTCTGGAGTTCTGGCCCCACTGATGGTGGACTTCCTTATATTGGCCTGATTCAATATGGCTTCTCTTATGTTTTTAAATTTTTCATATGTGCATATGCACCTGGAAGTCACGGTGACCTCTGGTGACTGACCCCTACTGGGGGCCTGGAGGATATTCTGAGAAGTGGCTGAATCAAGCCTGCCCCCGCCTCCAGTATTCCAAGGAGGTCTCCCATCCAAGTACTTGCTGGAGTCGACCCTGCTTAGCTTCTGGGATCGGACAAGATCGGGCTTGCCTGGCCTATCCAAGTCAGGTCTGCTTCTTCTCTTATGTTCTTATAAGGATCAAATAGAGGAGAATAACATAAGCCACTTTGGGTCCCCGTTGTGGATGATGGCGGAGCAAAAACGACAGAAATAAAATAAATCCAGTGAAGATCACACTGTAGGCCTGGCCTCCAGCGAGCCCCTGCCCAGAAGCCAGGCCCCCCCAGAGCACCCAGGGGTCCTGAGCCCCAGCCCTCCTCCTCATTCCCCCCCCCTCCCACCTGCTTCCTTTCTTGGCCGGCCCAAAAGAAGGCAAGCCAGGCCAGTGACGGGGAGCCCCGCGCAGAGCACTGATTTCTGACAGTCAGCACAATCTATTATTTCGTAGCCCGATGATCTGCCTTCCCGGCTGCTGCTCAGGAAATTCCTCCAGCGGCTGCCAGGCATTCATTTGCCCCGGCCTATTGTTCTGCGCGGCCGCCGTGGGGGGAGGCCAGGGGGTGGCTCTGGTGACATCCAGGCCGGCAGAGAGAGGCGGCTGGCTCTGGGGTGGGTGGTGAGAGGCAGGAGAGAGAGAGGAAGCCGGCAGCCGCACAGGCATCCCAGAGTGGTGGCTCCTCTCTCGCAGGGGCTGGGTTGGGGCCTTGATCGGTGCCGGGGGAGATCCTCCATGCCGCAGAGACGAGGGATCAAACCTGGGACTTTCTGCATGCCAGCCCAGAGCTCCCTCTTCTTGGAGGTCGTGCCCCGACTGCATCCCACCAAGAGCGTCTCCTCCACCCATGGAAGACAGATCTCTCGTTGTCACTGCTGTTATGTTCGGGCTTCATCTGAACCCGGCCGATACCAAGGCAACACTCTTCGCAGTCCCGGCTTTGGCTGCCGCCGGCCACCTGCGGCTAGACAGGCCGCGGCCCCCAGAAACGGCCTTCTTCGTCGTGGCACCTAAACCTTAGAACTCCCTCCCCAGGGAGTTCCCCCTCCCCGCCTCCCTCCATGGGTGCCTTCTGCCAGCGGGTGAAGACTTTTCTGTTTTGTTTGGCACCCCCCCAACAGCGGTGACTGGTCCTCCTCCCGGGTCCTGGTGGCGTGTGTTTGTGTGCTCTTACTGAATTGCTTTTATAATTTTAAATCTATTTCAAATTGATCAAATGTTTTAATTTGTTTTAATGGTTGCCACTTTGGGGGAGAAGGGCCTGACTGGGTGGGGAAAGCAGCATAAGAAAAATGTTTTAACTAAATAAAAATAAGGATTCAGTCTCCAGAATGCATGAAGCAGTCATAAGAACATAAGACCATAAGGGAAGCCAAATGTTGGATCAGGCCAATGGCCCATCCAGTCCAACACTCTGTGTCACACAGTGGCCAGAAATACCAGAGGCTATCAGGGGGTCCAGCAGTGGGGCTGGGACACTACAAGAGTCCTAAAGAGGAGAACGGGAGGGTCCGTGGTGGTTCAGTGGCAGAGCTTCCGCTTGGCACGCAGAAGGTCCCAGGATCAATCTCCGGCAGCATCTCCAGCTGGAAGGATCAGGTGAAGTGTTCCCTCCAAGCTGAGTGAGTGTGAGCTCGCTCACAGTTTTTTTAGCCTCCAGCTCACAGATTTTTGTCTCAGCTCAGGAAGGATGGGGCTCCAGAGCAGACTAATTTATGCAGCAGCCCAATCGCCCGCTCACAACTTTAATGCCAGGAGCTCACCAAGTAGGATTTTTGCTCACAAGACTCCACAGCTTAGAGGGAACATTGATCAGGTGGTCGGTGACAGGAAAGGTTCTGCAGAGTTCCTGCCCGTCTGAGTAGACAATACGGATCTTGATGGGCCCAGGGTCTGATCCAGAACAGGGCAGCTTCAGGTGTTCCTGAGTCTCTGTGCGTGTGCGGAATGCCTTTGTCTCCATAACTGCGCCCGGGAGAAGGGTGGCTTCCGTAGCAGAAAGGGGCGAGTGTCTCGCTCGCAGCCCTGAAGGCCCGGAGCGTCTCTCTTCAGCAACGAGCCATTGTTTCTTTTTAATTGGTCCCAAAACCAGGCTCTTTGGCAGCCAGGACTTTGCCCCTCTCCTTCCAGCCCCCTGACCCTGCTGGGTGGAAATCGCCTCTTTCAAGAGCCTGCCAAGCCAAACAACGCCAGGCGGGCAGGCCTCTGCCAAGTGGACACCGATTCAGTTCAGTGTGGGGGAGTGAAGTGCCCTCCTGCAAAGCAATGTCTCAGGGTGGGCACTGTGTTGGTGGCCCGGGGGCGGGGGGGGGAGGATCAGCTGCTGGACTGGCAAAGGTGGCAGGGGGAGGAAGCGGGCCCGATGGCCTCACCTCCCTTCCCTGGCTTCCTGAGAGAAAGGAGAGAACAAAAGAATTTTTTTTCCCAATTTGGAAAAACGGTGGCGTGGACAAAGGAACGCGGCAAGAGATGAATGAGCCCTTTGCCGAAACAAAAGTCAGCAGCTGCGGGCCTGGTGACAGGCAGAAGTTCTTGGAGAGAGCTTGTGGGTGTTTCCAGCAGGTTGCAGCGAGGAGGGGCAGGCCGGGAGCCAGGACTGCTGGGCCCGGAGGGGGGGGGTGCGGGCGGGACGGCAGATTTGGGAGGGTGGAGGTGGAAGGCCGGATTCCGGAGCCACGGAGAGCGGGATATCGCTTCCAGAGGAACATGTTGCGGAGGGGAGGGAGGAGGCCCTGGAAACCCGGCGTCCCCATTGTCCCCCACTGACAGCATCCCACACCATGTGTGCGTGGGGAGGTGCCCCCCCCCATCCGTTTGCCAGCTCCCAGGGATTTTAGAGACCAGGGCGGGGGGGGGGGAGAAAGGTGGATGGAGACATTAGAAACGCAGAGAGACGGCCAGCAGATGAGGAACATCTGGGCAAACCTGTCAGAGGCATCTCCAGGCCCGGCAGCCAATTCTGTGTTGGTCTCTCCCCCCACTCCCCACCCCACCCCGGCTCTGACTCTCTTGGGGGCCTAGTGGGAAGACCCTCAGCAGAGGCCAAAGGCGGCCTGTGCCCACCCCACCGAGGTGAAGCCAATCCGGGCGCCCTGTGGCCCCCCCAGCCCCCTCATTCACCCAGAGAGAATCCACTCGTGGGCTTTCCCGGTTGCTTCCTCCCCTCTCTTTTTAACCTCCCCCCCCCCCCCGCCCCGGATACGGCCTGAAAATTTATCGGGGGGTG